AAGGGGGATGTAGAAGTGACAGTTGTGATTAGGGGAGAGGGTGGAGGTGAGAGGAGTAGATGGAGGAAGGGGGATGCAGAGGTAACGGCTATAAATGTAGAGGGGGAAACAAAGGTGACAGCTGTGGATGTAGGAAGGGGGGATGGCAAGTAACAGTTGTGTATGGAGTACTTTGACTTTTTTCCCCACACCCCCAGATCAGAGCGGCTAGATCCTGCCCTGATACTGGCTGCCTGGCCATAGTGTCGGCCTTTTGGGATTCAACACTTAGATTCAGAACGAATATGTAGAAAGGTTAAAATATCCTCATGTCATGTCAAAGCCAATCTGGTGGTCATCAATGGATTCTCTCTGGACAGTTTTCCTTTAAAAAGATCCTGCCACAACCAAAATTCGATGGGCTGCCATTGGCCAGCTCCTGGAAGCAGTGCTAGTTATAGGGAAGTGCAGGCCTCTGGGACATCACACACAGAGCGGTGTCTGCCCTGAGGAGATTGGGTCATGGTGGAGGATCTCAGCAGGAACCAGCCTCTCTGTCATCCAAGCAATGCTTCACAAAGACTGAAAGGGGGGGATTTACTAAAACCGGAGAGCGTGAAATCATGGTAACCAATCAGCTTCTAACTTCAGCTTGTGCAGTTATGCTGGAAGCTGATTGGCTACCATGCAAAGCTGCACCAGATTTCTCACTCTCCAGTTTTAGTAAATCTCCCCCACTGTCTGCCACCTGGGAGGCAGGTGATGTGGGTTCTGGTAGGTCCTTGGGGCACAAAGGACATTTCAATGACCATTGAGGGCCTTTTATCACCTAGGAGGTTCTTTCTACCTCCGATGCATCTTCCAGTGAAAACATTTTGATGAATAGAAATGCATTTCAATGGAAAAAGCAATGAAGCCACCTAGGTATGAATAGACCCTGAAGGTCTACAAGACACCTTTAGATGTTTGCAACAAGATAGTTAAACATTTGTTCAGAATGACAGGTTAGCTTTAAAAAGGCACCTGTAATGTTGCAGAAAACAAAATCCTGGTGGAAAGACGGTAACAGAGATTGCCCATGTATAGGAAGGTGACACTCCCCTTGTAAGGAACCGTTGTAGACTTGTCCTTTTCAATGGCTTTTCCTAGGCTACCACCCTGTGACGGGAGTCACTTTGGGTGGGGGGTCCATGGAACACAGCTCACTTTGGAGAGGTCTGGAGACCCTTCTCAGCCCCCCATAACCCTCTTATGTGTAAGTCACCCTGTACAAGGGGTACAAGGTGATCTATCCAAATATTGGGGTGGAGGGTTGATTGTTTAATGCCATGTGGTTGCATCCCATTGTTCTATTGTGTGTCTTGCTTGGGAGCAAACTATTATGGGATGTATGTTTGTGTATTGGCTTGGTGGGGGGGGGGGGGGGTGTCTCCAGCGGCCTTCCCTCCTGATGGGACTGTCTGTTGGTGTGTCTCTTGTTACTAAAAGGTAGATTGCCCCGCCCTGTGTCATTATGCAGGGAGGAGGGGGAGGGGGGCTTGTTCCCTTGAATGTATATATCTTGTATCTGTGTTAAAATAAAGTAGTCTATTTCCTGGTTTACTTCATGACTGGTGGCGTCTAGTCTTGTATGGTCGGCTGTGGTGTCTGTGGTCGGTGTTTCGGACGGGGAAGCGGCGTTCTAACGGAAGTACCCAAGTGCAGTCTGGGGTCGGTTCCGTTACACACCCTGACCTCACCTTCACTGACCAAGAAAAGGCGCTCATCAGATGTCCGGACACCCAATGTGCGCATGGTCGCTACAGGTCAGTGGTGGACCAAGTAAAGTCGTCAGGATCTGTAGGCTGGCCTAGCGCCGCCTCTCCAGAAACAGCTTAGCAACAAGGCCTTTAACCCGTTCGCTGCCAGGTTCGTACATCATGCAGACATGACAGCGGAGGGGGCTTTACACACAATCCAGAGGCTGCAGCCACCAGGATTGTGTCTAATGCAGGCCACACATGGGTCGAATTCCGAACAATTTTTTTTGTCCGAAAATCGGAAACGTTCGCTCGGTAATCCGATGGCGCCATCATTGATTTCGAAAATCGGCCGACTAAGTCATAAAGTTCACCCCATATAACAGGCGAAACTTCTGTTCCTTCCAGGTGACGGCTCGTGTGCATATTCTTTTCGGAAAAACGATCGTACGATTTGACCATCGAGTCGAAAATCACGAATTTTCCAACAGGTCCGATTTTCAGCCGAAAAAAAAAAAAAATCGGTCGATTTTCACCCCATGTACGGCACGTCATGGCGGTCACATGTCCCTAAAACCCCGCCTCCCAGCTTCTGGAACCCTTAAAGGGCCGGGAGGCGCCGGAGTGAAGGGGTTAAGGTTGCGCCCCCCCCCCGTTCTAGGGTGTCTGCTTTCAGAAGATATAGAAATGTTTGGGGGGGCTGTCATCTTCAGGCCTAAAATTATTTTTTTTTTAAATGTGTGAAAGAAAAAAAAAATGCAAAAACGGCTCTGGCAGTGAAAGGGTTAAATCTCTCCCAGTTTTGGATGACAGGGCGGGTTGTGGAGGAGCTTGGCGCTACTTGCATTAGTGTTCTGGGAAGCTAATATGGCTGCTGAGTCTCTCTCACCCAACCCGCCACATTTCCTTTGCCACGGCATCAGCCAGACCACATGGAGGCACCCATGTCTATAGTAATCCTTAAAGTGGTTGTAAACCCTCCATGTACCCAGCGAAGTGACTGGCCTCAGGTGATACACAGAGATAAAACAAATCCTCCTATATACGTTGCACCTGTTTATCTGTAGTCTTCTCTTCTCTACTTCAGTTCAAAGTCCTGAATTTATAAAGATTGTCTGAGCTGTCAGAAAAAAAGGGGTGGAGAGCTGAAATTACACACCCGCGAAGCTCAGTGAGGAGGGCTCTTAGAGCTGATTGGAGAGAAGGGACACACACCTCAAAGGAGCAGCGCTGAGGTTGTCAATCACATACTGTGCCCTCCCTGTCACCACTTTTCTTTTGGTGTCAGGAAAACTCTACATCCGTTCAAAGTCCTGAATTTATAAAGATTGTCTGAGCTGTCAGAAAAAAAAAGGGGATGGAGAGCTGAAATTACACACCGCGAAGCTCAGTGAGGAGAGCCCTTAGAAACGATTGGAGAGAAGGGACACACACCCCCTTTCACACAGCTCACAGGAACAGAGCTGAGGTTGTCAATCACAGACTGTGCCCTCCCTGTCACCATTTTTCTTTTGGTGTCAGGAAAACTCCACATCCGTTCAAAGTCCTGAATTTATAAAGCTTGTCTGAGACTATAGAAAACAAGGGGCAGAGAGGTGAAATTACACACTGCAGAGCTCAGTGAGAGGAGGTTAGAGACACCCCCCTCCCCACAGCACACAGGTACAGATCTGAGACTGTCAATCTGTTGGAGCTCCCTCCCCCTGTCACCTTTTTCTCTTGGTGTCAGGAAAACTTGTCAGAAGTGACTCGTGCAGGTAGCAGAGGAAGGAGGCAGCAGACAGAAATGACACTTAGTGCTCTGGACTGAGCCAAGTGCACATTATAGAGGGATGTGCTTTGTCCATATTTCATCTCTGAGGTTTACAACCACTTTAAGATCTGAAAACACTGGCAGTGCAAAGTGCAGTGACCACCTCTTTCCTGATCCACAGCTTTTGTTTCCTACAAGTACAGGTGCCTTTCCAGGACAAGCAAGTCTGAAAACGAGGATTTCAGTTCTGAGTGAATGCTAATGGACCAAACCATGCCCTGGCTTCCTGACTACCTTCACTGGAGACCCTGACTACCCCCCGGGGAGACCATTATAGTCAGCTCCAGCCAAAATTTGTCCTGAATAGAACTGGGATGAGTTAAAAATTCCAAGCTATAACGCAGGATTACATCCAAATGCAAACCAATTCCTAGATATGGTGGCTGCATTCATTTTTCTTTTGTTTTTTGCTTTTTTAGGCTTTCTTCTATCTGGTGATCCTGCCAGTAAGTCTGAACAAGCTCTCTTCCAGATGTATCAGTGTACAGGCATGAAACAAACCATTTAACACTGACAGGGGTGCTTACAATGATCAGCTTTCAGTTTTTATGCCAAACCTTTATTCAGAGAAAAAAAAAAAAACTGCTGCTAGAGTTTGGCTTCACTGTGTCAATGTATTTAAATCTGCTAGTACATCTAATGCAGGCCATAGACGGGTGGTTTATCGGCCGAATTTTCGAATGAAGGAATAATCGCCAATGTTCGCACCGTTAGTGGGCAATGGCGTTGGCCGATTTTCGCGGTTCCTTCTTGTTAGTTTTATCGGTCATGCTGGAAAATCTACAAAAAACGGCCGATTTTCGTAAGTATTGGTGGCAACAGAATGACTGATTTTTCGTTTTTTTTTCGGCCGACAATTTGGCCAATAAATAACCCGTCTATGGCCTGCATAACACTCCCTTCCTCCCAGACTGACAACGCTGCCGTCTGCTGTGCCCCTTCCTCCAGAGTGGGGGCGCTGTAATACAGGAGGAGTGTTTACTGGCCAGATCACCAAGTGAAAAAAAAACCAAAAAGAAAACGAATGCAGCCAGCGCATCTAATGATTGGTCAGCTGCAATAGATTACTTTTTTTGGTTTTAGTTTTAAAAATCGATGAAAATTTCTGTGCCCCCCACTAGTGAGATTTCCCCTCACTTCCTGTCACTTTTTCAAATATTGCAGCTGCATGGAAAAGTGCTATGCATGTCTGTGCATGGGCATTCCAATGTGGAGGGGTGACCCTCCCCCCGCGCGTTTCTGCTGCAAGTGTGGGAGTGGGTACGATTCGCACGCAATCCCGCCCCTGCGTAGGTGTGAACCTAGCCTGAAACCGAAAAAAAAGACGGACAATCCACCCTCCACCCCAACTGCAATGGGGAGATCAGCTGTTTCTCCAGTAGGGGGCAGTAGCGTCAGCATTCACCCAAACTGAAATCTCCGATTCGGATCTCTTTACCCTTTTACCGCTGGATACAAATGTCAGCAGGTCAGTGAAGAGCGCCATTACTCTGATCGTCCAGTGCAATCTTCCCAAGAATCTGCTGCTCCAGGTCACCATTACCCACCGGAAGCTGAAAGAAGTTTATTTCGGCAGCTAAAGTGGCCATGGCGGTGGGGTCCTGCCCAAACTGCGCCCGGAGCATCATGTCCATTTTTCTCCAGACGCCGTTTCAACCGCTTGGCCTCGCGCTCCTTCACAAGTCTGGCCTGCCGCTTCTCCGGTGTCTCGTTGGCGCGCTTTAGCCGCATGGCCTCGCGATCCCTCTGGAGGCGTCTCGCCCGCTGTTCGTTCCGTCTCCTGCATCCTCTGCTGCCTCTTGGCTTCCCGGTCCCTCATCCTCCTCATCTCTCGTTCTTCGGGGGTTTCGCTGTCTCTCCGGCTTTTCTTGGCGGTGCGTTCCCGCTCCAAGCGCTGCATTCTGGCCTCCACAGGCTCGTTCTGCCTGCGAGTTGACCACTTGCGCACCGCGGGGTCTGAGACGTCACCATCTTCCGGTAGGCCACGCAGTTGTTGCAGACGAGTAACACCCCTGCTGGGTAGATGGGGTTAAAATCCTCGTCCTTTCCTTCCACGCCGTTGGGGGTTTTGTCGTTGTCCTGGTTCCAAGAGTCTGAAGACAAAAGCTCCGGAAGCTTCTCACTGAAAAGAAGTGGAGGAGACTTAGAACAACGGACTGGAAAGCTACTCAAGTCAAACAGAGATTTTTTTTTTTGTTCACCTCAAAATACGGAGTTAAAAATTAAACTGTCAGGGTCCTGTCCACGGCAAGAGTTCTGGAAGATCTGGCATTTCTGCCAGTACTCTACATGGCCGCAGAAGTACATATCAGACTCAGTCTGATGCCAGACGGTCTTTATAAGGAGGCTCATCACTTCCTCTGGTTTTTGGATGACCTCTAGCTCCCCGTGCCCTGTTCCTGGTTCCTGTGATTCTGACCTGTGATTTCCTGTTACCACTCGGCTTGCTCCTGGACCTGCCTACTCTGCCTTACCCCTGATCTGACCCTCGGCCTGGCTTATGGATACTCTCTCTCTCTCTTCTGTGTATGACCTCGGCTATCCCATCTGACTAAGTCCGCTCTGATTCCCACCTGGTACCTGACCTTGGCTTGAACCGACTAGCCAGTAAACATCTAAATCCCGGAAGGGTTTGCATACCACGCACAGGCGCCTCCTGTCTGCAGACCTATCTCCGTGCACCAGCTGTGCTTCTGAGTGGACCACCAACCAGCACTCCTACAGGCGACCTGTGCAATTTTGGGCCTGACTCCCGCTGTCCCACTCTCAGCGGAGTCCGGAACTTAGCCGCAAGGGAAGCCCTCTCTCCATTGGCCTCCACCACCAGGTACGTGATATAAACACACCATTTAAACTGGTAATAGAGGCAAATTTTTTTTTCTAACATAAAAAATGAGATATACTTACCTGCTGTGTGAAATGGTCTCTGACCGCCCTTTCTGGGGCCCTTGTGTTGGTGCTCTCAGCTGCTCCTCTTCTGCAAGTGTCTGCATAGTAAGCTGGCCTCAATGGGGCACTCATGCAGGCACACTCCTGAGCCGAGACGTGTGCATCCATAGACACATGCAGCGTGGCTGAGGCTCACCCCCCTGCCACCCCACTCCCTCCTCACAGGGGTTGGAGCCAATGGCAAACTTTGCTGATCAGCTGTTCCTTTGGGCTCCCGCTCCTGCACTGCTCCCGTCCACCCGTTTATGTACATGGGCCGGACGGGAAGTGGTTAAAGTGGACCTTTCCCCTATTTTACTAAATTTCACATCAGCATGCACCTCTGTATCATGTAAAACTGAGTTTTTTATTTACTTACCATTCTTGTGTCCACTTCCTGGTTTCCCTGAAGGTACGGAGGAGGCAGCCTCGCCCCCTGGAAAGGGAATGTCATCAGTGCCTCCAGGGAGATCTTGTACCTTGTCTACAAGATTTCCTGAGATCTTGCATTACTGTTGTACATACTGCATGAGATGGAGCGCATGAGGTCATACGACATTACATTCATCTGCTTAGCAAAAATAAAAAATCTTCTCATGGAGATCTTGAGGAAGGCTTTTTTTTTTTTTTTTTAAAACAGACAAATGCAACATTGTACAGCACATGCACGAAATCAGCGCATGACAACATGTGCTCCGTGTCGCACATGCACAATCGGACTATACTGCGATCAGACCTTGGAAAAGAATTTCAAAGTAGCAGGGCGGAGCAATGGCACCATGATGAAGACAGATGAAAGAAAGAGAGGCACCATGGGGGGGAAGGCAAGTGTCCCACTGCTCTAGAGTCCAGTGGCGGCGTGCTTTACACCACGGCATCCGACACTTTGCATTGCACTTGGTGATGTAAGGCTTGGATGCAGTTGCTCGGCCATGGAAACCCATTCCATGAAGCTCTCTACGCACTGTTGTTGGGCTCATCTGAAGGCCACAACAAGTTTGGAGGTCTTTAGCTATTGACTCTGCAGATAGTTGGCGACTTCTGCGCACTGTGCGCTTCAGCATGCGCTGACCCCGCTCTGTCATGTGACGTGGCCTACCACTTGGTGGCTGAGTGGCTGTTGTTCCCAGTTGCTTCCACTTTGTTATAATCCCACTAACAGTTGAGCGTGGAATATTTAGTAGCCAGGAAATGTCACGGATGGACTTATTGCCCAGGTGGCCACCTATCACGGGACCACGCTTGGAGTCACTGAGCTCCTGAGAGCGACCCATTCTTTCACCAATGTTTGTAGAAGCAGCAGTCTGCATGTCTAGGGGCTTGATTGTATACACCCTGTGTCCATGGAGGGGGGGATGGAACACCTGAATCACATGATTGGGAGGGGATTGGAACACCTGAATCACATGATTGGGAGGGGATTGGACCACCTGAATCACATGATTGGGAGGGGATTGGACCACCTGAATCACATGATTGGGAGGGGATTGGACCACCTGAATCAATCACATGATTGGGAGGGGATTGGACCACCTGAATCACATGATTGGGAGGGTGGGGCCAATACTTCTGGTAATATAGTGTACAGTGCCTTGAAAAAGTATTCATACCTCTTGAAATTTTCCCCTTGTCATGTTACAACCAAAAACGTCAATGTATTTTATTGGAATTTTATGTGATAGACCAACACAAAGTGGCACATAAAATTGTGAAGTAGAAGGAAAATGAGAAATGGTTTTCAAAATTTATTTACAAATAAATATCTGAAAAGTGTGGCGTGCATTTGTATTCAGCCCCCTTTACTCTGATACCCCTAACTAAAATCTAGTAGAACCAATTGCCTTCAGAAGTCACCTAATTAGTAAATAAAGTCCCCCTGTGTGTCATGTGATCTCAGGATAAATACAGCTGTTCTGTGAAGCCCTCGGAGGTTTGTTAGAGAACATTAGTGAACAAACAGCATCATGAAGGCCAAGGAACACACCAGACAGGTCAGGGATAAAGTTGTGAAGTGTAAAGCAGGGTTAGGGTATAAAAAACTATCCCAAGCTTTGAACATCTCACGGAGCACTGTGCAATCCATCATCCGAAAATGGAAAGAGTACGGCACAACTGCAAACCTACCAAGACATGGCCGTCCACCTAAAATGACAGGCCGAGCAAGGAGAGCATTCATCAGAGAAGCAGCCAAGAGGCCCATGGGAACTGTGGAGGACCTGCTGAGATCCACAGCTCAGGGGGAGGATCTGTCCACAGGACAACTATTAGTCATGCACTCCACAAATCTGACCTTTATGGAAGAGTGACAAGAAGAAAGCCATTGTTGGAATGAAAGCCATAAGAAGTCCTGTTTTCAGTTTGCGAGAACCCATGTGGGGGACACAGAAAAAGGGGCTCTGGTCAGATGAGAACAAAATTGAACTTTTTGGCCTAAAACAAAACACTGTTTGGCAAAAACTAACACTGCACATCACCCTGAACATACCATCCTCACTGTGAAACATGGTGGTGGCAGCATCATGAGGTGGGGATCCTTTTCTTCAGCAGGGACAGGGAAGCTGGTCAGAGTTCATGGGAAGACGGATGGAGCCAAATACAGGGCAATCTTAGAAGAAAACCTGTTAGAGTCTGCAAAAGTCTACTGTGGGTGTAGGATAAACTTTTTTTTTTTTTTAATGGTTGAACTGGATTGACTTTTGTCTTTTTTCAGCCAGACTAACTATGTAAAAGACTTGAGACCAGGGCAGAGGTTCCCCTTCCAGCAGGACAACGACCTGAAACATCCAGCCAGAGCTACAATGGAATGGTTCAGATCAAAGCATCTTCATGTGTTAGAATGGCCCAGTCACAGTCCAGACCCAAATCCAATGGAGAATCTGCGGCCAGACCTGAAAATCGCTGTTCCCAGACGCTCTCCATCCAATCTGACAGAGCTTGAGCGATTCTGCAAAGAAGAACGGGCAGAAATGTCCCTCTCTAGATGTGCAAAGAGACATCCCCAAAAAGACTTGCAGCTGGAATTGCAGCCAAAGGGGGTCCTACAAAGTATTGACTCCGGGGGCTGAATACAAATGCCGCCACACTTCTCACAGATTTATTGGTCACAAATGTTGGAAACCATTTCTCATTTTCCTTCCACTTCACAATTATGTGCCACTTTGTGTCGGTCCATCAGATCCAATCCCGATAAATACATTGTAACGTGACAACATGGGGGACATTTTGGGGGGGGGAGGGGGGAATACACTGTAACATGAGGGACATATCAGGGGGGAGGGGAAATACATTGTAACATAACAACATGGTGGACATTTTTTTTTGGGGGGGGGGGGGGGGGGGGGGGGGGGGGGGGGGGGGGGGGGGGTACATTGTAACATGACAACATGGGGGACATTTCAGGGGGGAGTGGGAATACATTGTAACATGACAACATGGGGGACATTTCGGGGGGGGGGAGTTGAGTACATTGTAACATGACAACATGGGGGACATTTCAGAGGGGGGGGGAGGGGGAATACATTGTAACATGACAATATGGGGGACATTTTAGGGGGGGGGGGGGGGGTAACATGACAACATGGGGGGACATTTGGGGGGGGGGGGGGGGAATACATTGTAACATGACAACATGGGGGACATTTTGGGGGGAGAGGGGGGGGAAAACATTGTAACATGACAACATGGGGGACATTTTTTTTTGGGGGGGGGGGAATACATTGTAACATGACAACATGGGGGACATTTGGGGGGGAGGGGGGGAATACATTGTAAACATTGTTACATGACACAAACACATGACAACATGGGGGACATTTTGGGGGGGAGGGGGGGGGAAACATTGTAACATGACAACATGGGGGACATTTTTTTTTGGGGGGGGGGGGGGAATACATTGTAACATGACAACATGGGGGACATTTTGGGGGGGGGGGGGGGGGGGTACATGTAACATGACAACATGGGGGACATTTTTTTTTTGGGGGGGGGGGGAATACATTGTAACATGACAACAGGGGGACATTTTGGGGGGGGAGGGGGGGGGGGGTAACATTGAACAACATGGGGGACATTTTTTTTTGGGGGGGGGGGGGGGGGGGAAATACATTGTAACATGACAACATGGGGGACATTTTGGGGGGGGGGGGGGGGAAACAGTAACATTGTAACATGGGGGACATGGGGGGGGACATGGGGGACATTTTTTGGGGGGGGGGGGGGGAATACATTGTAACATGACATGGGGGGACATTTCAAGAGAAATGAATACTTATTCACGGGACTGTATGTGAACCAGCACTTAAAGGGGGGGGGGGGAGGGGACTTCCTCTTGAAGTGAACATGTTGCTTTTCCCTGCATAAACAAATCATAGTTTGACTTCAAGGGTTGAAATTAAAACGATTTCAAATGTTAGATCTCTGTACAGTGGAAGTAAACTCCCATTGGACACTTCTACCTACAAGGCGGCTCATGAGGAAGCTTACCGGTAGGTACAAGGTAGGTACGAGGATTAGCTCCTAAACCTGCACCATTTAGGAGATATTCAGTGTTCCTCCAGCTGATGATGTCACCGGCGCAATGTCTCCGAAGGAATGGCACACCAGTGTCGTTCCTTCACAGCTCTGTGCCGCGGCCGAGACGTCATCGTGGCACGGCGAATCAAGTGGCCAGAGCCCTCGAACCCGGAAGGAATACTGGTGAAGATGGAAGCCCTGTCAGCGCCCCTGGAGGGCTTCGTTCTAAGGTAAGTCTTTCATAATGTGCTATCATGCGATGCATACTAGCACGTTAGGACTTTTTTTTTTGCAGGGGAAATGTTTTTTTTTTTTTTTATTTTGGGGGGGGGAGCAGTTTATTACCACTTTAAATTCACCTCTCACCTGTTGAAGGTGGCAAGGGTGGAAAACTGGGCCCCGCAGACAGCACAGTTAGACAGCTGATCGTCTGAATGTATAAGTAGATGACGTCCCAAAGAACCCGGAGAGCTGAGAGCGCGGCCACATACCGGGCACAGGTAGCTCTTAGCACTGACCACTGCGGCTGTGTGCTAGAAAGAAAAACAGACAGGAAGATTTATTGTAGAAAGTCTCCATTTGTAGCGATTGTTCGATAAATCCCGTTTTGGTAACACGCATGGTCACTTCACCCCCTAAGGCACGTTCGCGGTCCATGCTTTGAGGTGCAGCATTATGATCCCAAAACAGAAGGGATTCATCTGTCAGCGTTTCCATCAATCCCAGAAACAAGGGGCCCCATTCCTCATTTCAGCACAAGGGGCCCCATTCCTCATTTCAGCACAAGGGGCCCCATTCCTCATTTCAGCACAGTGCCTACAAATAATTCCTATATATACTCTAAGGGTCCTTTCACACGGGAGTTCCGTTTTCCTTTCATCAGTTCAAAGAAAAAACAAACAGATCATTTTACATCAGTTTCTCGTCAGTTTTTACATCCTTTACCAATGAAAAAACAGACAGTATGTCCGTTTACATCTGTATATTCGTCCTTTCAGGGTTTTTTTTTAAATAGGAATTTCTTCCGCTCAAAAAACAGATGTTAACATTAACAGATGTAAACAGATGCAGACACTAAGGGATGGAAACAGATGCGGACACTAACGGATTATTATTATTATTAATATACAGTATTTATAAAGCGCCGATAGTTCGCTCAGCGCTGTACATTACAAAGGGGGACAGAACATGTGACAGAACAATACCAATACAATGCAAAACATGAGGGGATCGAGGGCCCTGCTCCTTGGAGCTTACAATCTAGGAGGGAGGGGATGGTGGCACAGGAGGAGATAGCTGTGGGGGATGGAGTGGTAGGAAGAGTGGAGGAGGTCGGCAATTAGCAGGGGGTGGGGTAGGCTTTCCTGAAGAGATGGGTTTTCAGGGTGCGCCTAAAAGGAGAGGAGAGTAGGTGATAATCTGATGGGTTGGGGCAGGGAGTTCCAGAGGATGGGTGACACCCTGGAGAAGTCCTGGAGGCGGGCATGGGAGGAGGAGACCAGGGAACTAGAGAGAAGGAGGTCTTGTGAGGAGCGGAGTGTGCTTGTTGGGTGGTACTTGGATATTAGGTCAGTGATGTAGTTCGGGGCAGTATGGTGGACAGCTTTGTACGTCAGTGTTAGGATTTTGAATTTGATCCGTTGCGCAATTGGAAGCCAGTGGAGGGATTGGCAGAGGGGGGTGGAGGACACTGAGTGGAGGCCAGTGGAGGGATTGGCAGAGGGGGGTGGAGGACACTGAGTGGAGGCCAGTGGAGGGATTGGCAGAGGGGGGTGGAGGACACTGAGTGGAGGCCAGTGGAGGGATTGGCAGAGGGGGGTGGAGGACACTGAGTGGAGGCCAGTGGAGGGATTGGCAGAGGGGGGTGGAGGACACTGAGTGGAGGCCAGTGGAGGGATTGGCAGAGGGGGGTGGAGGACACTGAGTGGAGGCCAGTGGAGGGATTGGCAGAGGGGGGTGGAGGACACTGAGTGGAGGCCAGTGGAGGGATTGGCAGAGGGGGGTGGAGGACACTGAGTGGAGGGATTGGCAGAGGGGGGTGGAGGACACTGAATGGAGGCCAGTGGAGGGATATGCAGAGGGGGTGGAAGACACTGAATGGAGGCCAGTGGAGGGATTGGCAGAGGGGGGTGGCGGAGACGGAGCGGTTGGAAAGGTGAGTCTGGCAGCCGTATTCAGGATGGACTGAAGCGGGGATAGCCAGCGGTGAGGCAGGCCAGTGAGGAGGGAGTTGCAGTAGTCGAGTCGTGATATGATGAGGGAGTGGATGAGCCGTTTAGTGGTTTCTGGGGTTAGGAACGTGCGGATTTTGGCGATGTTGCGGAGGTGGAGTCGGCACGAGTTTGTTGTAGATTGGACTTGGGGCTGGAAGGATAGGTTGGAGTCCAGAATGACACCAAGTACTCTGGCCTGCGGGGCGGTTTGATGGTGGCGTTGTTGGATGTGATAGAGAAGTCAATGGGGGGTGGTGTCTGGGCTGGAGGGAAGACCAGAAACTCGGTTTTGGAGAGGTTCAGTTTAAGGAAGTGGAGCGACACTAACGGATGGAAACAGATGATCATCCGTTTACATCCGCTAGTCCATAGAAATAAATGGCGGTCTGTTTTTAATCTGTAAACAGACGGCTGAAAACTGACATACAGAACGCCGTGTGAAAGCACCCGTAAGGCACAGCATCCCAGAATACAGGCTCACTGAAGTCACCTAATCAATGTGCATACAGCCGCTTCAAGCCGGTTAAGGCCTCTTCCACACGGACATTCCGATTGGGTCTGCTGCCCGTTTTTCAGGCAGACCCAATCAGAACCTCCATTTTCCTCTAGGGAGTGGCGGGTGTAACCGGACTGTTACACCGGCCGACATCCAATCCGATCCACAAAAAAAGGACGGGTGGGGATCCAATTCCTCATCCATCCGTCGGATTGGGTGGGATGGAAACGGACAGGCTGTCCGTTTTCATCTGACCGACCATTGAGGAAAGCGAGCTGCCATGTGTCCGCTCTGCAGCAGCGGAGCGAACACAGACCTGTCATCCACTTGCTCAGCGGGGATCAGCGGAGAGATTTCCCCCCCGCTGAGCAAGAGGATCCACTAAACGGGTCCCCCCCCACCGTGAAAAAGGACCCCTTCTCTTGCTGGAGAAATATACTCACTGACCTGATAGACGTGACTAATAAGCTGCTCCTGACTGTCACACTCCAGCTGGCACAGTGGGCACAGATACAGAACGGAATCCAGGTGCCCGAGGGAATGGGGAATCTGCAAGGTCAGAGAAAAGAGGACCAGTCACATTGGTGTTCAATACATAATTATTCATTACAAATCTTCTGGATCTATAGTGTTTCCAGCACATCCTTGGATTCCTAACCTAGGTCAGTATATACAGAAGGGTTCATGCAGATGGGTGCAGAGGGCCGTCCACTGCCAGGATTCCGTATATTTCTGTGCCCGGGAGTAACACGTGTTGGCGTACAGCCAGGGCCTGCAGCCATGCACAATGACAGGCTGACAGATGCCACAGCGGTACATCTACAACACCCCGGTCACACCGATCCGACTTTGAAATTGCGCGACTTCCGGTGAAGTGAAGATGGTATTCCGATTTACAAGACATCTGCGGCTTGCAGGACACAGATGTCTACGCAGGTCGCACCTAAAGTATGAAGTCAATGGAATGAAGTCATTCCCTATATCCGCTCTCCCCGGACCCCGCATTCGCCATGTCCGCTCTCCCCGGACCCCGCATTCGCCATATCCGCTCTCCCCGGACCCCGCATTCCCCGCATATCCGCTCTCCCCGGACCCCGCATTCCCCATATCCGCTCTCCCCGGACCCCCCCAGCATTCCCCATATCCGCTCTCCCCAGACCCCGCATTCCCATATCCCCATATCCGCTCTCCCCAGACCCCGCATTCCCCATATCCGCTCTCCCCAGACCCCGCATTCCCCATATCCGCTCTCCCCAGACCCCGCATTCCCCATATCCGCTCTCCCCAGACCCCGCATTCCCCATATCCGCTCTCCCCAGACCCCGCATTCCCCATATCCGCTCTCCCCAGACCCCGCATTCCCCATATCCGCTCTCCCCAGACCCCGCATTCCCCATATCCGCTCTCCCCAGACCCCGCATTCCCCATATCGCTCTCCCCAGACCCCGCATTCCCCATAAGTCAATCCGCTCTCCCCAATGGCCCGCCAGACCCCGCATTCCCCATATCCGCTCTCCCCAGACCCCGCATTCCCCATATCCGCATCTCTCACCCAATGGCCCGCCATTTTGCACCGAAGTCAATGGCGGCGGCGCCGAGTTGGCGGCGCACCGAAGTCAATGGCGGCGCCAGTTTGCACCGAAGTCAATGGCGGCGCCAGTTTGCACCGAAGTCAATGGCGGCGCCAGTTTGCACCGAAGTCAATGGCGGCGCCAGTGTTGCACCGAAGTCAATGGCACGCCAGTTTGCACCGAAGTCCAATGGCACGCCAGTTTGCACCGAAGTCAATGGCACGCCAGTGTGCACCGAAGTCAATGGCACGCCAGTTTGCACCGAAGTTTGTCATCAATGGCACGCCAGTTTGCACCGAAGTCAATGGCACGCCAGTTGCACCACGAAGTCAATGGCACGCCAGTTTGCACCGAAGTCAATGCACCGAAGTCACGGGCACGCCAGTTTGCACTGAAGTCAGTTATCATTATCGGCACCTTTTCTTTTGTCTATCAACAAAACAGATAATCCTATGTTCGGCCGACAATTTTTCATTGGCCGATATTTCGGTGCATCACTAGTACTAAGTATTTCTTGTCACAATAAACTGTCAGCCTATCGGTGATGTGTACAGGCTGCTGTCTGGGGCTGTAAGCCAACACTTGTGTCTCCTGGAGGCAGAAATACATCACATTCTAGTGTTGCACAGCCCTCTGCCCCATGTGCCCCAATAGAGAAACCCAAAAGGATTTCAGGGCCCTGGAGTGGAAAGAAAACAAATGGAAGCCAACAGCAGGCACCTGCGAGGACCCGTTATTGGATACTATTGGACAGCGATGACAATATTGTTACATCACCATTACAGGAACACGGTTATGGATTAATAAAGGCACACGCAGGGTCAAATATTTGGAAGCAACGTAAGTCTGTCGCCTTCAGAGTCTTCAAATACCAAATATCACTTACAGAACGGCTCTCGTCCTTCCCGCGGCTCGCTCCCGGCTCCTCTTTGTCAGCACTGTCCTCTTCTGAAGCAGGAGAAGACAGGTCATCAATGGTGGTCTCGTCTTCATCGCTGTCACCTGCAACACATAGACGAGGCGCCTTGTACAATCAACAAAAGATACCAAAAGTATATATCATACGCCTCCTACACTCCACGATAGGAAATGATAGTGTTACTAACCCCGGACCCCGCATTCACTATCCACCTTCCCCGGACCCTGCATTCACTATATCTGCTCTTCCCGGACCCCGCATTCACTATATCCGCTCTCCCCGGACCCCGCATTCACTATATCCGCTCCCCCGGACCCCGCATTCACTATATCTGCTCTTCCCGGACCCCGCATTCACTATATCCGCTCTCCCCGGACCCCGCATTCACTATATCGCTCTCCCCGGACCCCGCATTCACTATTCACCTTCCCCCGGACCCCGCATTCACTATATCCGCTCTCCCCGGACCCCGCATTCACTATATCCGCTCTCCCCCGGACCCCGCATTCACTATATCCGCTCTCCCCCGGACCCCCCATTCACTATATCACCTTCCCCCGGACCCCGCATTCGCACTATATCCGCTCTCCCCGGACCCCGCATTCACTATATTCGCTCTCCCCCGGACCCCGCATTCACTATATCCGCTCTCTCCCGGACCCCCGCATTCACTATTCACCTTCCCCCGGACCCCGCATTCCCTATATCCGCTCCTCCCCGGACCCCGCATTCACCCTATATCCGCTCTCCCCCCCGGACCCCGCATTCCCTATATCCGCTCTCCCCGGACCCCGCATTCACTACATCCGCTCTCCCCGGACCCCGCATTCCTATATCCGCTCTCCCCCGGACCCCGCATTCACTACATCTGCTCTCCCCAGACCCCGCGCATTCCCTATATCCGCTCTCCCCGGGACCCCCACATTCACTACATCCGCTCTCCACAGACCCCGCATTCACTATATCCGATCTCCCCGGGACCCCGCATTCACTATATCTGCTCTCCCCGGACCCTGCATTCACTATATCCGCTCTCCCTGGACCCCGCATTCACTATACCCGCTCTCCCCGGACCCCGCATTCACTATACCCGCTCTCCCCGGACCCCGCATACACTATATCCGCTCTCCCCGGACCCCGCATTCACTATATCCGCTCTGCCCCGGACCCCGCATTCAGTATATCAGCTCTCCCCGGTCCCCCCATTCACTATATCCGCTCTCCCTGAATCCTGCATTCACTATATCCGCTCTCCCCGAATCCTGCATTCACTATATCCGCTCTCCCCGGACCCCGCATTCACTATATCCGCTCCCCCCGGACCCCGCATTCACTATATCCGCTCTCCCGGGACCCCGCATTCACTATATCCGCTCCCCCCGGACCCCGCATTCACTATATCCGCTCTCCCCGGACCCCGCATTCACTATATCCGCTCTCCCTGGACCCCGCATTCAGTATATCAGCTCTCCCCGGACCCCGCATTCGCTATATCCGCTCTGCCCCTGGACCCCGCATTCGCTATATCCGCTCTGCCCGGACCCCGCATTCGCTATATTCGCTCTGCCCGGACCCCGCATTCGCTATATCCGCTCTCCCCGGACCCCGCATTCGCTATATCCGCTCTCCCCGGACCCCGCATTCGCTATATCCGCTCTCTCCCGGACCCCGCATTCGCTATATCCGCTCTCCCCCGGACCCCGCATTCGCTATATCCGCTCTCCCCGGACCCCGCATTCGCTATATCCGCTCCACCCGGACCCCGCATTCACTATATCCGCTCTCCCCGGACCCTGCATTCACTATATCCGCTCTCCCCGAACCCTGCATTCACTATATCCGTTCTCCCCGAACCCCGCATTCACTATATCAGCTCTCCCGGGACCCCGCATTCACTATATCCTCTCTCGCCGGACCCCGCATTCACTATATCTGCTCTCCCCGGACCCCGCATTCACTATATCCGCTCTCCCCGGACCCCCGCATTCACTATATCCGCTCTCCCCGGACCCCGCATTCACTATATCCGCTCTCCCCGGGACCCCGCATTCACTATTCACGAGTCTCCCGTCATTGATACACCAGGCTCCTGTCACAGCCGCAGGTCGCTCCGTACTCACTGCTCATCCTGTCATTTGTTTCCATCATAGAAGATTCCTGTTTTATGATTTCTGTTTTCATCATTGCTTGGCGAGCCTGCTGCTCCAGTCCAGCGAACATCTGCTCCCCTGCCGAGGAAACAATCACAACTTGGTACAATTCCTTTGTATGGTACAAGCACAAAACAAAAAACATGAATTTCAAAAAGACGGGTTTAATCATTTCACTGTCAGAGGGGTTTTTTTGCATTTTCTTTTTTTTTTTTTTTGGCACACATTTAAAAAAATAATTTGGGACTTGAAGATTACAAAAACCCCCAAAATGTTTTACATTTTCTGAAAGCAGGGGTCTTCAAACTATCTAAGCAAAGGGCCAGTTTATTGTCCTTCGGGTTTTGGGTGGGCTGGACTGTGGTCAAGGGAAGCAAGCAATGTCCCATCATTGGTGTCAGTGGGAGGAATGGTGCCCCCATCCATCCCTCATTGGTGTCAGTGGGAGGAATGTGCCCCATCATTGGTGTCAGTGGGAGGAATAGTGCCCCATCATTGGGGTCAGTGGGAGGAATGGTGCCCCATCATTGGTGTCAGTGGGAGGAATGGTGTCAGTGCCCCATCATTGGTGTCAGTGGAGGAATGTGAGGGGGGGAAATAGTGCCCCATTAATGGTGTCAGTGGGGGGGGGGGAATAGTGCCCCCATTAATGGCGTCAGTGTGGGGGGGGGGGGGGATAGTGCCCTCCTAAAAAAATCTAAACTACCGCTATTTTATTCTCTAGGGTGTCTTCTTTCAGAAAATATGTAATGTAATCTTTAGGCTTAAAATTATTTTTTAAACATTTGTACAAAAAAAAATGCAAAAAACGGCTTTGGCAGCAAAGGGGTTACATACGGCGCGGTAGGCGGGTCTCATTGATCACAGGGGGGGGGGGGGGGATCCATTTCCAAATACTCACAATGTACTTTATTTGGAGTCGTCTGTTTCCTCCGGGACATTTTATGACGAATCCACGCTGACCCTCTACACAGAGGAGCTCTGCAATGACAAGGAAAGGCGATTTCAACGCAGCAATTCCAAATCACTTTCATTAAGGCATGCTTGTTTTTTGTTGTTTTTTGCAGAAACGCACTACAGTCCATGTAACATGGTTCCCTATGGGGCACGTTCACATATAGCGAATGCGGGTGTCCCGGGGTGGGATTGAGAGCGGTATATAGTGAATGCGGGGTCCACTTCCAGAGAGGAGCTCGGATACATGTATTTGCGAATGCGGGGTTTCCGGGGAGAGCGGATATAGCGAATGCGGGTCCTGACCCTCATACCGGGTTGAGAAGCGGATATAGCTCGGAATGAGGGATGTCCGGGGGAAGCTGAGGATATAGCGAATGCGGGGTCCGGGGGGAGAGCGGATATAGCGATATGCGGGTTACCGGGGAGAGCGGATATAAAAAAAGCGAATCATGTAACGTGGTTCCCTGGGTGAGCCAGAACGGATATAGCTGAATAGCGGGGTCCGGGGAGAGCGGATATAGCGAATGCGGGGTCCGGGAGAGAGCGGATATAGCGAATGCGGGGTCCGGGGAGGAGTCGGATATAGCGAATGCGGGGTCCGGGGGAGAGCGAATATAGCGAATGCAGGGTTCCGGTCCCGGGGAGACCCGGCTATAGGCGAATGCCGGTCCGGGGAGACCGGATTTGGGTGAATGCCCGGGTCCGGGGATGACCGGATATGGTGAATGCCGGGTCCGGGGAAGACCGGCTATGGTTGAATGCCGGGTCCGGGGGAGACCGGCTATGGGTGAATGCCAGGGTCCGGGGAGGTCCGAGGAACCGGCTATTGGGTGAATGCCGGGTCCGGGGAGAAACCGGCTATGGTTGAATGCCCCGGGTCCGGGAGGAGACCGGCCTATGGTGCGAATGCCCGGGTCCGGGGAGACCGGCTATGGTGAATGCCGGGTCCGGGTGAGGACCGGCTATGGCGAATGCCGAGGTCCGGGGAGACCCGGCTATGGTGAATGCCGGGTCCCGGGAAGACCGGCTATGGTTGAATGCCGGGTCCGGGGAGAGACCGGCTATGGTGAATGCCGGGTCCGGGAAAGCGGATTTAGGGAATGCGCGGGGGTCCGGGGAGAGCGGATATAGTGGTGAATGAGGGGCTCCCGGGGAGAGCGGATATAGTGAATGCGGGGTCCGGGGAGAGCGGATATAGTGACTGCGGGGTCCGGGGAGAGCGGATATTCAAGTGAATGCGCGGGTCCGGGGAGAGCGGATATGTGAATGCGGGGTCCGGGGAGAAGCCGATATAGGTGAAAATGCGGGTCCGGGGAGAGCCGGCTATAGGGAATTGCGGGGTCCGGGGAGAGCCGATATAGGAATGCGGGGGTCCACGGGGACAGCCGAATATAGGGAATGCGTGGTCCGGGTGAGAGGCACGGGATATAGGGAATGCCGGGGTTCCATGGGAAGGGGGGGGGGTGGGGGGGGGGAGAGCCGATATAGGGAATGGGGGTCCGGGGGAGAGCCGAATATAGGGATAGTGCCGGGGTTCCGGGGAGAGCCGATATAGGGAATGCGGGGTCCGGAGAGCCGATATAGGGAATGCGGGGGTTCAGTGGCATGGTGCGCAAAAATCAGCTAAATATATACATGTGATTTTGCATTTCCAGGTAGGGGTACGTGCGCGTGCGAACCCCTACCTGCGCCGCTATAGCTAAAACATCACACACACACACAGTTAACCCTTTGATCGCACCTCATATTAACCCCCTTCCTGCCCAGTGCCATTAGTATATGGTGGTCAGTGCTTTTTATTAGCACTGATCACTGTATTGGTGTCATCTGTGGTGATGTCAGTGACACCAAGTCAGTTCCCCCCCACCCAGTGTCTCAACATGCTGCCGCAGTCCCGCTATAAGATCGCTGAAGCGCCGCCATTACAAGTAAAAAAAAAAAAAATAGTGTGCAAACCAATTAATTTACAAGTATTAGGGATTTTGTTTTGTTAGCAAAAGACACGGGATAAAACTAAAAAAAGCAGATACATTTTTGGCCGAAATTTATGACGAAATTACATATTTTAAACTTTTTTTACTGACATGTTTATGAGGAACCAAGGGACGTATTTGTCCCATAATTTTTTAATGCCTGTATGATGACGGTAATCTTATTGGTCCTCAAAGTGGTTAGCAAGGCCAAAAATAATGTTTATTTGGGGGCGCATCAAAATTGTTGGTTTTTGTTTATAGCGCAAAAAATAATAAAAAACGCGCAGGCGATCAAATATCCACACTGAAAGAAAAGCTTCATTTGTGGAAAAAAGTCTGTAATTTCATTGGGGGGGCAACGTTGCACGACTTTTTGTCGTTGCGCAATTGTCAGTTAAACTAACGCTAGCGACGTAACGCAAAAAAATGCCCCAGTTCAGGGGGGGGGTGATTCTGGAGGGCGAGGGGTTAAGCGCACCGGAAACAAAACTATCCGCTTGCAGGCAATTTAAATGCAACATTTTGGGCGAATGAGCCCCTTTTACTCGCGTTCCTAGCGGTGACGACGGAGCTATTAGCACACCTGTGCCGCCATCACCTGACCAGCGAGCAAGCGATCCCATCGCAACGTCACCCGGCCTGCCCCAAGTAGTAATCCGGTACGTGCGCTGCAAAATAAATCGATGGTACATCAGGGAGACGCATATTAATGAACCTTCCAATTAATGATTGCAAAAATGTTAAAAAGAAATGAAATGAAAAAAAATAAATCCGTGATGGGGATCCCATAGAGAAACCCTGCTGGGCACCATTGCAGGCGGGGGTATGGATCATGCATGGTGCGGGGGGCCGCCCGGATCCCAACCCCCTCCTGCACCGCTCTGCTGCATTAGAATGGAGGAGGTGGGGGGGAAGGGGGACACTTTACAATGGCGCCGCCAGACACTGACTGGCGGCCCTGTGCCGGCACCGACCTACCTGCATGGTGTCCCGGTCACCCCGCCCCCCCCACCGGTATCCCGGGTGTGTCCCGGCTCCCGGCGGCTGCTGGATACTAGAGGGAGAGAGGCCCTCCGGTGACGTCAGCGTCACATGACCCGGCCTGGCGGGAGGAGGGGAGAGCATTGTGTCTGTGCAGAACTCCTCACACACAACACACACATCACGTGACAGAACCTATATATATATATATATATATATATATTATATATATATATATACATATATACCTATATATATATATAATATATATACATATATCTATGTAGATAGATAGATGGATAAATATATATATTTTAAATATATATATATAGAGATACGTGATCTGTGTGTGTTGTGTGTGAGGAGTTCTCCCACAGACACAATGATATATATATATTCATAGCCCCTAGGCATGCAGACGGCTTCTACAAACATTGGTGAAAGAATGGGTCGCTCTCAGGAGCTCAGTGACTCCAAGCGTGGTCCCGTGATAGGTGGCCACCTGGGTCAATAAGTCCATCCGTGACAATTCCTGGCTACTAAATATTCCACGCTCAACTGTTAGTGGGATTGTAACAAAGTGGAAGCAACTGGGAACAACAGCCACTCAGCCACCAAGTGGTTGGCCATGTCACATGACAGGGCGGGGGTCAGCGCATGCTGAAGCGCACAGCGCGCAGAAGTCACCAACTGTCTGCAGAGTCAATAGCTAAAGACCTCCAAACTTGGTGTCGCCTTCAGATGAGCCCAACAACAAGAGCGTAGATAGCTTCATGGAATGGGGTTTCCATGGCCGAGCAGCTGCATCCAAGCCTTACATCACCAAGTGCAATGCAAAGTGCCGTGGTGTAAAGCATGCCACCACTGGACTCTAGAGTATGGAGAAGTGTTCTCTGGAGTGACCAATCACGCTTCTCTGTCTGGCAATCTGATGGGCGTGTCTGGGTTTGGCGGTGACCAGGAGAAACAGTACTTGCCTGGCTGCATTGTGCCAAGTGTAAAGTTTGGTGGAGGGGGATTATGGTGTGGGGTTGTTTTTCAGGGGTTGGGCTTGGCCCCCTAGTTCCAGTGAAGGACCTCTTAAGGTGACATTTTGGACAAATTTCAAGCTCCCAACTTTGTGGGGAAGAGTTTGGAGATGGCCCCTTCCTGTTCCAACATGACTGCACACCAGTGCACAAAGCAAGGTCCATAAAGAAATGGAGGAGCCAGTTTGGGGGTGGAGGAACTTGACTGGCCTGCATAGAGTCCTGACCTCAACCCCATAGAACACCTTGGGATGAATTAGAAAGGAGACTGCGAGCCAGGCCTCCTCCCCCGACATCAGTGCCTGACCTGACAAATGTGCTTCTGGAAGAATGGTCCAACCTTCCCATAGACAACCCTCCTAAACCTTGTGGACGGCCTTCCAGAAGAGTTGATGCTGTTATAGCTGAAAAGGGCGGGGCCAACTCAATATTGAACCCTACGGACTAAGACTGAGAGGCCATTAAAGGTCATGTACGTGAAAGGACGGGGCCGACTCAATATTGAACCCTACGGACTAAGACTGGGGCCATTAAAGGTCATGTGCGTGGAAAGGCCGGAGGCCCAATACTTGGGGCAATATAGTGTGTATCATATTCCTATTAAAACACCCAATACGTACCCCACTGTGTGACAGGGAAGGGGATGACACCCCAACAATGAGCTTCTCTGATAGGTCTGCTAACCACTTCAGCCCCAGGCCATTTCTGGCACTTTTTTGTTTACATTTTTAAAAAATCTGTGTTTTTTTGCTAGAAAATGTCCTGGAACCCCCAAACACATTGGATAGATTTTTAAAAGCAGAGGCCCCAGAGAATAAATTGGCGGGTTTATGTCACACGGTATTCGCACAGCAGTTTTTCAAATGCAATTTTTTGGTAAAAGGATACTTTTTAAATTTAGAAAAAAAAAAAGCGACACATAACCCATTTTTTTTGTAAAATATAAAAGACGATGCAGATTTGACAATTGCTGTCACAAGGAATGCCAGCAATAGGCAGTGACAGGTACCCTTTATGGAGGGTTCTGCGGTCTATGAGATCCCAGATCCCTCCTCTGCACTTGAAAGCATTAAATACACCAAGATCAGCGTTTTTTTTTAAAATGGCGCTGAAAGTTTCTGAGTAAACCCAAATAATCTATTTTTATCCCATACAGGGCGGACTGACAACTCATGGGGCCCCTGGGCAATAGGGGATCATGGGGCCCTGTGTCCTTGCCCAAACTCAAAAAAACCTATAAAAAAGGTACCGGGGGCATTTCATGGGGCCCCCTACTGACCCCGGGCCCTCGGGCAGTGCCCGAGTTTCCAAATGGTCAGTCCGCCCCTGATCCCATAACTACATGGCTGCGATGTGTTTTTTTTTCAACAGTTCAATCACGTTTTTTTCCAGGAAAAAAAGGATAAGTACACATCAGTTTTCAGCAGTTTACATCCGTTTTTGTCCGTTTTTCGTCTCTTGTTTTTTTACAATAGGGTTTTCTTCCATTCAGAAAAACAGATGTTAACAGATGTGGACATTAAGCCCTGGTTCACATATATGCAGTGGTGTCCCTAGGCAGGTGTGGGGGTTGTGCGCGCCGCACCGGGTGCCACCTACCGCACAGGGTGCCACTGGATCCGCTCCACGAAAAAGGCAAGTTGTAAAGCAAGCCGACGATCCCCGCAGGATGGATCGGATCTGCGGATTGAGCATAATGGATCGGAGTCCGATCCATTATGCTCCCCAATCCGCAGATCCGATCCATCCTACGGGGCTTGCTTTACAACTTACCTTTTCGTGGAGCGGGTCCGGTGTCACCCCGTATAGGTTGCATGCCAAAAATCCCCGCAGGATGGTTTAGATCTGCGGATTGGGGAGCATAATGGATCGGACTCCAATCCATTATGCTCAATCCACAGATCCGATCCATCCTGCATGGATTGTCGGAGGGGGTGTCACCAAGTGTTATCGCACCGGGTGAAACCAACCCTAGGGACGCCCCTGCATATATGCGGTGCAGTATATTGCATGTCATTCGCACAGAAACCACACCGCATTCCTGTGCAGATCACATGTGATTTGTGTGCGGTATAATCGGAGTCGTACATTTTGTATGGCTCTAAACGCACCGCACCCTCACCAAAAATGTGCAGGACCCTTTTTTGGGTCCGCACTTGAATCAGATAGCATGGCTATTCACACCTATGGGATCCGATTCTACACATTGCACTGCATTTGCGGACTGCTTTCAGGGTGTTGTTAACATAGACACCCGCATTGGTGCGCATGAGCGGGGTGCGATTCTGATGAGGTGCGGAATTCGCACAGAAACCGCTGCAAATTTCGCACCGCACCTGTGTGAACCAGGGCTGAGGGATGTAAACAGGTAATCATCCATTTACATCCGCTAGTCCATAGAAATACATAGGGGTCTGTTTTTCATGACAGGACAGATGAAAGACAGACATACGGAACGCCCCTGTGAAAGGGGCCTAAAAGAGTCTTGCAAGCAGTGTAAAGCAGCACAAAAACTCAAGGAAAGAGGAGCTTCTATAGTCTATGGTTCCTCAACCAGGGTTCCATGGAAGTCTAGGGTTCCTCAACCAGGGTTCCATCGATTTCTAGGGTTTCCTCAAGCAGGGTTCCATGAAAGTCTAGGGTTCCTCAACCAGGGTTCCATGAAAGTCTAGGGTTGCTCAACCAGGGTTCCATGGAAGTCTAGGGTTCCTCAACCAGGGTTCCATGGAAGTCTAGGGTTCCTCAACCAGGGTTCCATGGAAGTGCAGCAAGTTTATTTGAAATCCAGAAAGATATAAAAATATATATATATATTGCACTCAAATGTTTCATTGCCAACGGCACTTTTATTAGGCATAGGAAGAAGCAAACATTGCACACTGCAGCTCGCTGTATCTGAGCCAATGTGCGTTGCACAGACCGGATTCGACCACTGGAGGTGATGCACTGAAGGGACGACCAACGGAAGGGCCTCAATGTATTTCGTGGGATGACGTCATCAGGAACCTCCGGTGGTTGGATCTGGTCCGTGGAATGCACGCCGGCTCAAATACAGCGAGCGGTGGTGCACAATATTTGGTTCCCCGAGCGGGGACCAGTCCATTCATAACATGTTACATCCTGAATATGGGTGTAACATGTTTATAAAAGGTGAACTTATTTTTTAACTCAGGGTTCCTCAACCAGAGTTTCATGGATGTTTAGGGTTCCTCAACCAGGGTTTCATGGAAGTCTAGGGTTCCTTAACTAGGATTCCATGGAAGTCTAGAGTTCCTCAACCAGAGTTCCATGGAAGTCTAGAGTTCCTCAGCCAGGGTTCCATGGAAGTCTAGTGTTCCTCAACCAGGATTCCATGGAAGTCTAGAGTTCCTCAACCACCAGTTCCATGGAAGTCTAGGGTTCCTCAACCGGGATTCCATGGAAGTCTAGGGTTCCTCAACCAGGGTTCCATGGAAGTCTAGGATTCCTCAACCAGGGTTCCATGGAAATCTAGGGTTCCTCAACCAGGATTTCCATGGAAGTCTAGGGTTCCTCAACAGGGGTTCCATGGAAGTCTAGGATTTCTCAACCAGGGTTCCATGGAAGTCTAGGTTCCTCCAGAGGTTGCTGGGGGTTCCTTGGGCAAAGAGCAATTTCTGCTCTCAGATAAGTTCCCACTGACACCCATTGATCTTCCTAGCTATTTGTAAGGGAGTAATTCTTCCCAATGACCACAAGTGTAAGGAGCATTCTTCCACGACTTCACACTGATGTATCATGAGTTGTAGATATTGTCATTACTAGCAGGGGTTCCCTGAGACCAGAAAGTTACTTCAAGGGTTCTGTGGTCCGGGTAAGAAAGGACTGTGGTTGGTAGCGGAGAGGGCGGGGCTCAATAGATTTACTGCTCCTGGCGTGTGCGCAGGATCACGTATATATACATAATTCTGCATTTCCGGGTAGGGGAGGGACGACAGAGCCGCTCGCGAGTACATTGAGCCTGGTACGGTTTTACGTTTTTTTTGGGAGGGTACTTGTGTCTTTTTTTCATTGGGGGCTCCTAT